TCTTTCTTTCTTTCTTTCTTTCTTTCTTTCTTTCTTTCTTTCTTTCTGTCTGTCTGTCTTTCTTCCTTTCTTCTTTCCTTCCTTCCTTCCTTCCTTTTTTCTTTCTTTCTTTCTTTCTTTCTTTCTTTCTTTTCTTTCTTTCTTTCTTTCTTTCTTTCTTTCTTTCTTTTCTTTCTTTCTTTCTTTCTTTCTGAAAGAGTAAGGGATAATGTACACAAGAAATTTCTATTGGTTGAAATGCACAGATATGCACTAGATTAGCAACATGATCAGCCTTCTCTTTCCCATCTGCCAGTATGGGAAGATTTTAAAAAGGCCCTAATGGCTAGCTTAGATCCATAGCTGAGATGAAAGCTTACTAAGCAAAAAAGATGTAAAATATTGCCAGTATGTCTACTACTCTGAATTCGTTTGTTTGTTGTTTGTTGAATTTATATTGCCCCCTATTTGCCCATGGCGTCTCAAGGCAGCTTACAAAATATAAAACCTCATTTAAAACAATAAAACTAATAAAAAGAATCAAATAAATCAATATAATATAATAAAATCGCACACCCCGGCAACAGCAGATCACATGAACCATTTAATGGGCTCCATTCCGCTCTGGGTTCCCCAGGCCTGCTGGCAGAACCAGGTCTTCAGTGCCTTCCAGAAGAGTGTTAGAGTGGGGGCCATTCTAATCTCTTGGGGGAATGATGTTCCAGAGGGAGGGAGCCACCACGGAGAAGGCCCTTCTTCTGGGTCCCACCAGGTGTATCTCCCTTGAGGATGGGACCTGCAACATTCCCTGCCTCCTCGCTCTGATGGGTTGGGTAGATGTGACTGGCAAGAGACGGTCCCTCAGATAACCATGTCCCAAGCGATGAAGAGTTTTAAAGGTGACAACCAGCACCTTGAATTAAGGAAATGTGGCCCTCAAGACGTAAGAGATGCATCGGAGGCTGGCACAAGACAGAATAGCATAGAGCAGTTCTTCTCCAATAAGCAAACCCAGTCAGATTATGTTGGCATTTGAAGCAGAAAATGTTCACCTTTCCTGCCCTGATTTATTGCAGTTAATTTGTTGCCTTTCCATGATAAAGATCCTCTTTTTTTTTCCAGTAGGCAAAGACTAGAAAATTCCTGTAAAGGAAAGAAAAATGTTATCATCGGGATTTGCATATATTTTGCACTGCAAAGAATCCAATAAATTACTTTTTCTATCAACAAAGAAAAAAGTAACAATTTGGTTTTAGGCTCCCCCTTAAGCAAACTGAGTTTAAATCCAGTTGAGCAATGGAGCAGTAGATTTTCTTGCAGTCTTAATACAGTTGTTTACTTAAAATTTACTTATCTGATTATAGTGTGGCTTTAGGTCTAAGCTTTTACATTCCAAGGTATCCACAAAGATTCCATGACCTATGACAACAGGTGTGACATACAGGAGTTGGAGTGCAACTCTCATTAAGCAGAAATGTTGGTTAGAACCAGCCAAAGTTCAGGAACAATTGAAGACCCCAACTTTTAAATCATTGCCCTATGTTGTATATATTATTTAAAGATCCAGCAGAACCCACCATAACATCTTCCCCATTTATTTTTTACCATAATGCTATCATGGCCTTTTCTGCCCCAGATTCCATACTGAACCCAAATTGATACAAAGCCCAAATAAGTGGTTTCATCAAATCCTGAATTTGAAAGTATTACTCTAGAAACATAAACATATTATAAAAACAATATTTTACTTTATTTATTTTTGTATAAAATTGATATAGCCTTCCATCTCACCAGATCAACTCTTAGTTATCAAATGAAGTAAGAGCTAACATTTTCTTATAGTTATTGTATTTCAGAGCTTGTTTGTTACCATGGATCATAATCAGTGATTGGGTAAATTATGGTGGAGACTGTTTGCATCTAGTTATGATGCAAACTGGAGCCTCATGAGCTATTTTAAAATAGTTATTTATTTATCCCTTGCATTTGCAACTCTGCCAATGCTGTGTCTTTACAGGCTCTGCAAACATCAATGACAGAAGCATGTTGGGGAAAAGAGACAGTGAAATGGCTGTCATTGTGGAAGATACCAACATGGTTGCTTCAGTGATGAATGGGGAAGATTTCAAAGCAGGAAGATTTGCCCAATCTCTTCGCCTTCAGTGCTTTAGGTACCACAGCTGACAAAAGGGTTTTGAGAAAAGTAGGAGTAAAACCAATCTACAAAGGATTTCCAGTCATTTGATTGCCTTAGCATCCACAGAATAGACCAGGGGTTTCAAACTCAGGATATGGCCCATGGGATGATTAGATCTGGCCTGTGGGCCCAACCTGGAAACAGCAAAGGACCGGCCCGCGGTGCCTCTGTCAGTGAAAACAGAGCTTGTGAGGGCCACATGCGGCCTCCCTGGATTCCATTTTTGGCTGCAACAGCCTCCTGCAGCCCTCTGCTAGTGGAAACGGGAACTATGGGGGCCCAAGGAAGGAAGGAAGGAAGGAAGGAAGGAAGGAAGGAAGGAAGGAAGGAAGGAAGGAAGGAAGGAAGGAAAAAGATTAGGGAAGGAGGAGGGGTCTGAAGTAAGTCCTACCTTAGCACTTGGCCACCATAGGTGCCCCCGACATGAGTGACGTTGAGCTGATACACCCACCCTGGCCATGGCCCCTAGGCCTCCCTGAGGTCAAACAGAACCTGATACATCCCTCAGTGAAATCAAGTTTGACACCCCTGGGACAGACAATCCTGTGTTTGTCTATTTGTCCAGGGCTTCTATTTAGTTCAGTGGGGTCTATTCTCATTTGTAGGTTGTAGTCTTAATTTGTATTAAGGTAGTCCCAAAGGTGCTTTTCCAAAATGCAAGTAGACTTTCTTGTTTACTTTTCTGTGAAAGCATTTCACTTCTTATCCAAGTAGCTTCTTCAGTTCTGATCCTTTGGAACAACCATGACCTGAATAATGGAGAATCTCTGTAGATAATGTGTTAGGGTCCGCAACTTAAAACCATTTGTTTAGTGACAGTTTTGAGATTTCAACGGTGCTGAAAAATGATTTACAACTAGTTTTCACACGAATGACCACTGATGACCACAATTTGAGGTTTAGAACCCAGCAGTTATTTACAAGGGCTGGACAAGATCATCTGTCCTGAAAAAGGGAGATTTCTACCCATTAAGCCATAACCTGGATGAATGGTTTCACCTTTCATCTTTTCATTTTACAACACCTCATCATTGATTCAGCTTCAAAGTCACTTTGCAGTAAATACAGCCTGGCTTCTCCCTATTTTTGAGGGGGAGAGCTTTAATTGTCTTTGTAATAATTGCCTGCTCGTTCAAAGTTCTTCCTTTGAAAAATTGTTCAGAATTAAAGCTGCCACTGTCAGAGTGGGAAAGATAATTAGCAGGCCTTCTTAATTTGCCCCTGCTATCTAACTGTGCAGATAAGCAGCAGTGTAGCTGCCATAAAATGAACACGCATTGCAGACACTCTGAAATCTGGGCCTTTTCCACCACCTACCATAAATGTCAAATCAAGAAAGCCACAGGCATTTGCAGAAGACAGAATGAGAAAGCAAACTAGGAAACTAGGTGTATTGCAATTCAGGCATCACCTCATTTGTATTGTATGAGCTATGACAAGAGCCAGTTTGGTCTAGTGGTTCATGCAGCAGGCTAGAAACCAGGAGACTGTGAGTTCTAGTCCCCCATTAGGCATGAAAGTTGGCTGGGTGACTGCGCCCATCACCAGGAGACTATGAGTTCTAGTCCCTCCATAGACATGAAAGCTGGCTGGGTGACTTTGGGCTCATCACCAGGAAACTGTGAGTTCTAGTCCCTCCTTAGACATGAAAGCTGGTGGGTGGCTTTGGGCCAATCACCAGGAGACTGTGAGTTCTAGTCCCTCTTTGGACATGAAAGCTTTATTTTAATCCAATACTTCCTGGTCTCGGGGCACAACCACCACAAAGAACTGGCTGCAAGAGATCATCAAAAACTAAAATGAATTTAAACCGCAACTCTTTCTTTTGGGAATAATCACAGAACAACACCCCCCCAAAATTAAATATATTATCTTACACATCTTGACAGCAGCCAGAATAGCTTTTGCACAACTATGGAAGGGAGTCAATGCCCCACCAGAAAAGCTAGTCATACGAAAAATATTGGAGTGTGCAGAAATGAACAAGCTCACATTAGAAATGAAAGATAAGGAGAATTCTAATATGGGATAAATGGTACGAATGGCTAAAAAAGAGATATAAAGATTAGGAGGAATAGTTTATTGTAAACAAAGTAAGAGGACCTTAAGAGAGTGTTATTGTAGATATCTTTATAATAAGCAATATAAGATATATGTGTTTGTTGATATATATAATAAGGCATATAAGACGTAGGTAGTTATAGATGAATAGAATAAGGTACATAAGGTATATGTGTTTGTCGATGCCAAAACATCATAAATATTGGTGAGATTTATATTTTTGAAAAATATAATAAAAACATTTTTTTTAAAAAGACATGAAAGCTGGCTGGATGACTTTGGCCTCATCACCAGGAGACTGTGAGTTCTAGTCCCTCCTTAGTCATGAAAGCTGGCTGGGTGACATTGAGCCAGTCACTCCCTCTCAGCTCAACTCCATCTCACAAGGTGGTTGATGTGCGGAAAATAGGAGGAGAAAGGAGTATTATGTATCTATGGAGATTCCGGTTGTCCAGGTCATGGTTGTCCCAAAAGCCCTGTTCAAAAGGCAAGTGGACTTTCTTGGTGTGTTTTCCTTGAAAATTTTTGCTTCTCATCCAAAATGAGAAATGAAATGTTTTCAAGGAAAAAAACAAGAAAGTGCCTTTTGAAAAGCACCCTTGAGAGTATTATGTATTTTTCTAACCTTTATAAAGGAGACTTGGTGGCTCAGTAGCTAAGACACTGAGCTTGTTGATCAGAAAGGTCAGCAGTTTGGTGGTTCGAATCCCTAGTGCCACATAATGGAGGGAGCTCCTGTTACTTGTCCCAGCTCCTGCCAACCTAGCAGTTTGAAAGCATGTAAAAATGTAAGCAAAAAATAGGGACTACTTTGGTGGGAAGGTAACAGTGTTCTGTGTGTCTTCGGCATTTAGTCATGCTGGCCACATGACCACAGAATCATCATCAGACAGCGCTGACTCTTTGGCTTAGAAACAAAGATGAGCACCACCCCAAGAGTTAGGAATGACTAGCGTGTACAGTATGTGTAAGAGGAACCTTTACCTTTTACCTAACCTTTTTAGAAATAATAAAGGCAGGATTAAAATAAATTAATATACCAATAAGCAAGAGATGGAGCTTACATCATCATGCACATTTTGCCCCTTGGGCAAGATATAAACAAACTGTTGAAACTTGCGAAGAAGTTTTAAAACAAAATAGCCAAACCTTAATAATCACCACCATTCTTTGTTTGGCTTCTGTTGGAGCAGTGTTCTTATATTATATTAGTACCCTTTGGGGTTGTATTTCATCTTCCTGATTTTAAAGTGGTTAACATTATTGACATCATCTACTAGTTTAATTGTACGTACTTTCCTTTCTTTTTCTTCTTTTGTCTTCTCCCATTCTTCAGGGTTGTTCTTGGCAGCTCAATAGATCTGAATGATATCCAGGATCCTATAAGTGACAAATTCTTTAAAGAAGTGTGGGTTGCAACAGCAGCACGTAATGCCACTATTTTTGAGAAGGTGAAGTATGGGCTTATGTTTCACACTTGTTACTGAAAAGCATGAGTATTGTACAACTTATGTAGAATACAGAGAATTGTCAACCAGAATGTAAATATAAACACATTTACATGACTTTATTCCAAAAAATCTCGGGAGAAAAAATATCAGTGTCTTGGAGATTCTGAAAATCCGGTTAAACTTCAAAAATTCAATGAGCAGAGGTAACATGACTAAACAGTTGGCAAGTTTCTAGTATAGCCGTGTTCTTGGAGAGAGATCTGTTCTCACATCTTTTTCTTCACTCTTCCTCTTCTCAATTAGGTTTTCCGATGTCTTCCTAGTGATGAAGTCAATAACCTAACTCACCTGCGGGATTTCATCAATAAACCCAAACTTGCATGCGAGAATCCGACGAAAGCAACTGAAGAACTGAAGAAAATCCGTGGATTTCTAGTCCAGTTTCCCTTTCGCTTTCTGGATGAAGAGAATTTGCTTCCCTCTGTCGGAACAAAAGAATCCATGGTACCCATGGAGACATGGACTTAAAAGAGAAATCAGCTTGAATGCTTGTTTCTGAGTAAACAAGACACAGATCTGGTTTGGCTTCTATTTTCACAAGAACCTGTTGTCACAAGAAGGAAAAGCTGCACCAATCCAAAAGTGCCTTTTGATGATAGGGTTTTAGAGAAAATAACAGCTGACTAGAGGCAGTGTTGGAAATAGCAGATAATGGATAAGTTACATTCTCAATGATTGCAGGGCCATCCAAGCAACCTGGAAAATAGGAAAAGGGTAATGGAAGATACTTTATCTAAAAGTCTACAGTCATATGTCAAGACACTTCCCATATTCCATGCATGCTCCTACATGTTTGGTTATCTCAAACAAAATCTACAAAGTCTTCATTATAAGTAACTCGGATAAGATATTTGTTAAACTAGCCATCTTTTATTCTGGACAAAAATTGGTAACCGGTTTTCCACAAGGAAAACCTTGTAACTAAGGTTACTGCTTGTAGAAATTATATTTCCAGGCAAAGTGACCTGCATCTACATTTCTGCTTTCAAAGAAATCCCTGTGTAACAGTGATAACGCCTTGACTCTTTTGCAGGCTCTTATTGTTGCTTACGTCTTTGTAACTATGGAACTTGTTAAGATAGAGTGTTTCTTTATAATTCCTTTTTAAATTCTGCAAATAGTATAGCAACTACTGAGAAACACTGCACAATGCCACTTTGGGTTTAACTGTGATCTTTCTGGAGTACGTTATAGAAGTTCTGCATAGATTTTTTTTTTTTTTTTAGGGCTGCATTTAGCAGGAGAAATAATTTGTCCTGCATGTGTCATGTTGGAACAGTATGTGTTGAAGATTTCTGAAGCAGTACTAGTAAGCCGACAGATTTGTTTTGTGTCTTTAATGGCCAAAAAAAGTGTATTGATGTAATCATTTAGCAAAAATCTCTTTATTCTCTTCAAGAGGGACCAATTAATTCTTCCCATCTTGCCCAGAAACACACTTGTATGCCTACGGTTCAGTGTTCCAATATTTGAGGAGCTGCTGTCGGGCTCTGAGTTCACTGCCACACAAAGACAAGGGGGTCAACCTATTTTCCAAAGCACCAAAAGGCAAGACAAGGAACAATGGATGGAAACTAATCAAGGACAGAAGCAACCTAGAACTAAGCAGGAATTTCCTAACAGTGAGAAGAATTAACCAGTGGAACGGCTTGCTTTCAGAGGTTGTGGTTTTCCATCACTGGAGGCTTTTAAAAGAGATGACCTCTTGTCTGGAATGGTATGGGGTTTCCTGCTTGAGCAGTAGGTTGGACAGAAAATCTCCAAGGTCCCTTCCAACTCTGTTACTCTATTTTTACTTCCAAACAATCTATGAAATCCTTTGGTAGAGGCTACTCAAGCCCTGTTTTTCAAGTCCTGCAACAGTGGCTCAAGCTTTATTATTTTTTTCACAGATGCAAGAGTCTTACATTACAATGTAGGTATGTTTCCTGTCTGCACACAGCAGGAATCCATGCCACTGATTTGGCAGTTGTGATGGGAAGGGGTGTGAAACCTGCAAAAAAAAAAAGGATAGGAATCATATATATTGTTTCATTATAGATTGTTCAGCCCTGTGCTTGTGAGATTCTTCCCACCATCATTCCAAAATAAATTGAAGTAGAGAAAAGAAACATGCTACTGGAGTCTAGTCTTTGAACTATTCAATCCCTAGCATTTCAAGGTCAAAGGGGATTAAGATGTTTACCAGAAATCCCAAAGCAGTTTTCTTAAATCCAGAGTCCTTCTGTGTTGGGCTATGATTCCCTTCATCCTCATCCAGCATGGCCAATCAAAATAAACAAAACTAACTAAATGAGATATAAATTATTGTCCTGCTTTCAAGTTCCTGTTTCTTAGAAAATACATGAGAACATATCTTGGGACCATTTGCCTAGACTGTAATCTTGAATTCAGTCTAGTCAGATTTTGATCTCTCTGAGGACCTTTCAAATATTACAGTGTTTCATGTTCTAGCATGAGTGATATTTCAGATCTTGTTGAACTACAAAGACTAGCAGCATGGCCAAGATGCTGGGAGTTGTAGTTATCAACCTTTGCAAGATCATTGGACTTTGTATATTTGCCCCAAATATGATTGGTTTAATGCAACATGTTTAACTTATTTAACTTATGTTTTGAATTGTATAGCACTTGAAAACATAGATTTAAAAAGGCTGAATTTTTACTATGTGTTAAGCAACAAAAAATATTTAACTGAAATTAAAGCTGGCCAAGCTTAGCATGCTGCGTGAATGGAACCAGCCTTTAATTTAACTAGTTAGGTATGTCTTGTAAAAAGCCCATGAAATATTTCAGATCTAGACTGTGCTTGTTTCATTTTCTAGCATAAGTGACATTTCAGATCTTGTTTAACTATAACTGCTAGCAGCATGGTCAACATGCTAGGAGTTGTAATTTGTCAACCTCTGGAGGGTATTTACATTGTATTCTTTGGCTTTTAAAAGACTGTGACAAGGGTTTTATAGTTTTTCCCATAAAACCTTACTGGCCCTTCCATGTTCAGATTAAGACCTGTTGGCTACATTGCATAAGCAATTTCATAAGGTATAGAACAGCGTCCAGCAAATGAGAACCAATATTTGTCATGGGTAGACAAACTGCCCAGTTTAGTTGTTAGCATGCTTGGTGCTTCATGCTGCTAATTAGTAGTAAGGGTGGAAATCATAATCATCATTTAAAACGAGATATGTTGTGCTTTAGATAATTCTTGCAGCACAAACTTTAAAGAGAACACTTGTCTAAATAATTATAACTCTACAGTCTTCTGTACATTGTTCATTAAATGTATACCCCATCTTTTCTCAAGTTCAGGATAGCATACATAGCACTTCTACAATTTTTTCTTTACAGTAATCATCATGAGAGGAGCTACCCAAAGTCACCCAATGACTTAAAGTGGGTTTATATCTGGATGTCTTCTCCCTGATCCTTATCCAACCCTTTAATTGCTATGCTATATGATTACTCAGAAGAAGTCTTTCCATTATTGCTATTTGCAATTAACATTGGGGATCAACTATCCTGCCCCCTTATTAGAAAATCTGGAAGAAGCACATCTAACTGATGTGCAACATTTCATTTAGAATTTCACTTTAGCACCTTCCTTGCATGAAATGCACTTTGTAGGTCAGGCATGGGAAACTGACCTATTGCAAATGTTGGATTTCAACCATTATCAGCCCCTTGCAACATTGATAAAAGTTAACAGAAACTGTTTAGCAACATCTGTTTAACAAAATCTGGCTACAAGTTCTCCAGTTGCAGAAGTGACAGGCACAATATGTGTACTCACCTTGGAGTCCTGATTGGATGGAAGAAAACTTGGGACTTTGTATGTTTGCTCCCAAAATGATTGGTTTCACGCAACTTGCTTAACCTATTTAATTTATTTTTTTACTTGCATAGCACTTGAAATCATAGATTAATTAAAGAGGCTGGATTGTCATTATGTGTTAAACCACAGGAAAAAACGTCTATGGAGATTCTCAGTCATCCAGGTCATGGTTGTCCCAAAGGTGCTTTTTGGAGAGGGAACTGGACTTTCTGGGTTTTCTTTGAAAATGTTTCACTTCTCATCCAGCTTGGATGACAAACGAAACATCTTTAAAGAAAAACCAGAAAGTCCAGTTCCCTCTCCAAAAAGCACCCTTAGGACACAGAATTTTTTTTTTTTAACTAAGATTAAAGCTTCCCAAGCTTAGCATTCTGTGTGAATGGAACCAATCTGTAATTTAACTGGTTAGGAGTGCCTTGTAAAAAGCCCTTGAATTATTTCTGGTCTAGATTGTGTTTGTACTCAAGTACTCTGCTAGAACTGCTTATTTTGTTATTTTGAGAATGACTGGCAAATCATTGTGTCAGAAGAATATCAACAATGCGCAGACTCAAACATTCACTACATGAAATACATATGATCTAAAGCTGGTTTCTCAAATGTGTAAATGACCTGGATATAACCATGGGTAGTATATTATTTAACTAGTGGAAGATGAATAGAGTATCATTGACCATCCATAAATTAGGGAGGTTATCACTTTGTTACAGTGGAGAAAATGTCTTGCATTTTTAGAATAATACTAATCATACACTTCTGCACATAAATTAACAAATGCACTTTGTACAAAATTGGGTCCTTTCACACACAAATCTTTTTAAGCTATATTTTGTAATTCTTTTATATTCTTATCAGGCCCAGGAAATTATCATACCAATTAGTTCCTTCATTAAACTCCATCATCTTTACTCTTGTTTATGGCCTGCATGAAACATTATGTACCAAAATTACATAAACTGTAATAAGGCTGGTATCAATAATGGGCTTTTTTGCTATGCTTTTTGCTACTATTCATTCAGTAATAGCCTTTTGCTGTGGGGAGCACCAGAACTGTCCTGACTCCATCCTTTAGAAATGCTAAATTGACAAGAGAAAATATGATTCTGACAAGTCAATTTTCTCATAAACTGCAATATCTGTTAAGAGATCCATTCTAGTTAGGACAATACAACCTTTATGGTACATAACATGAAACCAATACAGTTAAAATATATCTTCCAGAGCAGCCTTCCTGTTCACTCATAAGAGCTTTGTCTTGTCACAATATTGTCCAAAACATGTCAGATTGTATTATGTTGGTCACAGTATAGAACCTTCTCAGCTGTGGCATCAGTTTTGTTCAACTTTATCCTGTGAGGCTTACTTGACCTTCATATTCTGCATTCAAATGAGGAAATGTGCGTTTTTGATATGAGTCATAGTTTTAGCCTCTTTTTATAGTTTAAAGTGGCTAATGGTATATTCTGGTTCATGTGCTGCTCTGTATCATTCATTGTTAAGGTCTTACTTTTTAATCACTGAATGCTTGTAGCATTGGAAAATCCTTATATGTAGATGCGATCAGGAACTGGGAACGAAGGGATATACTGGGATGAAACAGAGTTGTTCTTTGTTCACATTTCTACTGATGTTTAAACTTCCAAGACCTTCAAAGAAGATTATCCCAATTGCTGTAATTGCTGAGACTTTATTGCCTGATGAATGAGGAACCCATGAAGTTGAAGGACAACACTCAGTATTGATTGAAATAATCCTGAACAGAGTCTGAATGAAAGTCAGAAACTACTGGAATTTAAGGGTTTTTTTTTTTATTCTTTTCCATTTGACCTTTTAAGAAGAGAAGAAAAAAAGTTATTTCTCTCAGTTGTCACTAAGTCCTTTATTTTCTCAGTATTGCATTTTCCTAAAATAGATGTAGTCGCTGGGAATAATTGTAATTTATTTGTCTCCATCCTTGACACTGAGATAATGGGAGAAAAAACAACATTAGCTTTTTAATTGGCCAGTCAAGCTGCTGTCACATCAATGAAGTGTTGTCTAGGTGGCAAAAAAGCTTGTAGTTTTACATCTTTGGAAGGGTTGGAACAATTTTATGTATTTGTGCAACACTGTGAATATTACCTTCTGTGAAGGATACATAATTATCTTTTTTTTAATTGCTAGCCTCGCTAATGTCTGCTTTCTCCTTTCTTCTGTAACTGGGAATACTTACATGTTTATCAACTGAAAAATAGAACTTGAATATAAAATATTGGACCCATTGTATTATATGTCTTCATTTCCAAAACTCCAATCTCCTTTCACAGTGGACGAGGTGGAATACCTGTCTTATTAAAGTGACAATTCCTTAACCCCTTGTTTTTCAACCTTAGCAACTTTAAAGTGTGTGGCCTCCCAAATTCCAGAATTTCTCAGCCAGCCTGTAAGTTGAATTCCATACATCTTAAAAGTTGCTAAAATTGAGAAAGACTGCAGAAAGTTGGTGCCTGCAGATGCTAAATTCAGTAACAATGATAGGAAATAAATGTTGTAGGCAGTAGGACCTGGAATCCTCAGAAAGTCAGCACAAACTATGTTTGGCAATGTCACAAAAGTGGATAGGGACCATGCAAAATAGGGTTGGTTAAAAACTAAAAAGCAAACATTAAGACAGCAGCAGTTGAACTAGTGCTCTCTTCTAGGAAGATCTCTATAGGA